GGTTAGACAAGTTTCTCACAGAGAAAGGGGTTGGGAAAGGAAAGAGAAGAGAAGAGAGACAGAGAGGCTCTGATTTCCCCCCCCCTCTTTACTTTCTCCTTCTTCCCCCGCCCTCAAAAAAAGAATAAGAAAANTAAGAAAATAATAGGGGGAAAAAAAACACCAGCCACAAAACCTTCTCTTTTTTTCACGTGGCTCTGTGGAACAAGGGTGGAAGCAAAGGACGTGGGGTCGCCATCCTTGACTTGTCATGACTTTACGGGCACAGCCTTGGCGCTGGTTTGAGGGTTTTAGGATCGTCCTGCCAAACTGGGGGGGGGCAGACCCTGCACTGCCCGCCACTGCATTTTCTGTGGGTTTGTTCCACGGCGTGGCTTTAACATTAAGAGGCCCCCCTGGACCTTTGGCCTCCCTTCGGTTCTCGTCTTTCCGGTCAAGGCCAGCTCCATTTCGGGCAGCGGACGCTGGAAGGGGCTGGACGGGCTGCCGTGTGACGGCCTGAGTGGGCCGTGGCAGCAGCCCACACTGCCAAGCGTGTCTCAGTGGCGGTGGGGCTCTTGTGGGTCATCGTCTGTGGGACTTGGGGGTTTCTGGTGGCTGCCACTGGGGAAAAAAAATAACCTTTCCCCGTGGTGTTTCTGTCTGAAATCCCCCTCCCAGGCCTTTTCTTTACCTTGCCCCCCTTTCTTTTTTATTTACGATGATGATAACAGCTCGCATGTTATTAAAAGGACAATTAATCGTTGTATAATTACTCATTTGAATTTTCCACCTAAGGCGGCCTGCAGGTTTTTTCCCAGGCTTCCCGCTCCTTTTGCCTTTCCCCTGGAGGAGGATCTGAGCCAGCCTGCTTCCTTTCTGGCCTCCCCTTGCCAGGAACGGTTGACAAGCCCCGACAGATCTCTCTCTCGTCTTGGGCTAGGATTCCTGCTTTGGTGGTCCGGAGGAAAAGCCCTGCGCCCGGGGCTGGGCTCGGCGAAACTAGGCGGGAGAGAGCCCAGGCCTCTCCGGCCTTTTCCTCGGAGGGTGTGTGTGTGTGTGTATCTCCTAGCTCAGCTTTGCAAAGAAGTGTGTAGGGAAGTCCAGTGGCCAACAGATGATGTTAGTAGCCCCCTTTGCTCAGGCAGAAAACTAAGTGGATATGGCTCTGTGGGAGAGGTATAGAGAAAAGCCTGCAGGCAGAGGGTCCACACAGGAGCTCAGAGGCTGAGGGTGGGTTTGGGAAGGAGGTCTCGGGCCGGCGCCCCTTCGATGATCATGGGGCAGCCCCTCTCTCTGTCTCGGTCTGCTTCAACTGGACCTTCTGCAGCCGGACTTGAGCCAGGCAGAGTTGGTGCACCGTCTCAAGAGGCCCCCAACGGTGCCTGGCTGCTGTGCAATTTAGACCCCGATCTTACTGGGGTCTAAACCTGCTCCCCCCACTTGTTCGATTCCCGCATCTGGGCTGGAGAGAAAGACCCCTTTCTCTTCTTCCTTACCCCCTTCCCTCTCTCGGTTGTCTCTTGAATCATGTCCCATTGTGACAAGATGTAGCCGGGGGGGGGACCTCTCTGGATACCCCCCCAAAGCAAACCCACAGAAATAGCCCCATGGGTGGAACCAAGCAGCCAGACACATCCCCCCCAGGGCTTTGGAAGTCCATCATCCTGCTCCGTTGCCCTTATCTGAATGCGCAAGATAACCGGGAGTAATCTTGAGTCACCTGTAACCTGGGGGAGGCCGTGGACTTGTTGTCTTTCTCAGACTTGTAACTCCTCTTATCGGGCGTGATCTCTGGCCGAGGAAACGGTTCTCAGGAACCTTTGTACTCCAAGAATGTTCTGGGGTGTGGATTCGGAGTGCGGGCAAAGGTCTTGTGTGAGTGTGTGTGTCGTTTACCCCCCCCTCCACCAGCAGAGCCTCCCTGCCCTCCCTCACCAGGACCTGGATCACGAGGAGTGGCACCCAGGGTTCCCCCCCCCCACCCCAATCCTCTGGGAACCTGAACTTCCATGCAAATTTGACGTTCTCCCTCAGGTTGCCAGCCATCCGGGTTGGGGAGGGTGTATGGCATGGCTTGAATGTGCACTGAATTTGATGAAAAGTCTCCAAAACTGGAACTGGTATCTTTTTTCCAGCGGGTGGGGAGGTTGATGTAGAATGTCAGTCAGTCTAGTAGGGGCTCCTATGGCCGGCAAAGTTACCTGTCCCCTTTTCCCCGTGGTCAGAAGAGTCCGCGGGAGACGAGATCTAAGCAAAAAGGTGCAAAGCAGGGCTTCCCTGCCTAATCGGTGCTGGTGGCAGACATCAGTCTGTGGGGAAGTAGATTACCTTTAGGAGAACAGGGACACTTCGGTTCATACAATGAAATAAAAACTAATCATCATATGTAGATGATGCAAATGAATTATGGTTTAGCTACAAACTGCTAACCAAGCCATTAAGGGTCTGCCCAGCAGCAGTGTAGATGATTGTGAGTTTAACCTTGCATCCCTCTCAGCTTGGTTTCTCCTTCCTTCTATTCATCATCACCTTCCTTCCTTCCTTCCTTCCTTCCTTCCTTCTGTTCATCATCACCTTCCTTCCTTCCTTCCTTCCTTCCTTCCTTCCTTCCTTCTGTTCATCATCACCTTCCTTCCTTCCTTCCTTCCTTCCTTCCTTCCTTCTGTTCATCATCACCTTCCTTCCTTCCTTCCTTCCTTCCTTCCTTCCTTCTTTACTTCCTCCACCACAGCTTCTTCCTTCCTTCCATTTTTACAGCAACCTGACAGCTCATACTGAATTGTGAATATGGTTCTAAAAAGTCCCACATCAGTAGGACTATATATGTGTGTTTTTTTATTTTTTAGATAAGAATAGTTAGGGTAATGAGGGAATCCAAATCACTGTTACTGGGAGGAAAGTCTTGGGGGGGTGTTGCAGATTTTTAAAATTTGTTCTGGGAGGGGAAGAGAAGCCCCCCCTAAGAATCTTGGACTCCCACTCTTGTGACCCATGAAAAGGGCTGCAAACTGTCCCTCTCACTTCAAAGCAACCAGCTTTCCCCTGAGGGGTTTGAACCACCCCCACCCCACCCCACTGCCTGTTCAGTCTCAGCCCCCTCCCCTGCTTGCCACTGCCCCGCTGCACCCTCCATGCCCTCCTCGGATGCCTGTCCAAGACCTCCACCCATTTTAAAAGGCCACCCGGGTGGGGGCACTGCCTGCAGAGGACCACCAAGGCATTTTGTGCAGAAAGGTCCCTGGGGGGCCCAGTGCCCCCCCAAGAGACAAAAAGGGGTCTTCTTTCAGAAAGGAAGCTGATTCCAAGGGGCAAAGAATGAACTTCGAGGCGACGGCTTCAGGGAAGAATTGCTTGTCTCGGGATTCCACGAAAGGAGAGTGTCTTATGGGTCGGGGGAGAGATGAGCCAGCCGGTCCCCCAAGCTTGGGAAAGTTCCTTTCTTCACAGGACGGTTCCAGAATCCCCCAGCCAGGGTTAAAGCCCCTGCCAGAGACCTAGAAACCCCCCCCCCTTTCAGCAAAGCATCTCTCTCTCAATCTGGAAATGAACAAGAAGGAGGTTTCGATCCACCTGAAGAAAACTTCCCCCAAGAATCAGAACCTGTTCATCAGTGGAATTGATTGTCTCATGGGGAGGGGGCGGCAGCGTGCACTGGACCCTCCTGCCTTGAAGGTGTTGAAACAGAGCCTGGAATGATGCCCCCTCCCAATGCCCAGGAACCGTCAACAGACTAGCGTCCAGGGATTCTTACAGAGAGACAGTGTTCAGCCCCTCTCCGGACCCCTTGCCTCACGAGAAGTGGCACTCAGGGGGGGAAAGGACCCCACCCCAAAGAGGACCAGAGAAGGCTAGACCAGTACCCGCCCCCCCCCAAAGACAAAGCCGCTAGCCGCCGTCCTCCACTGGGCCCAGCGGCTTCAGTGGCAGAAGCCAGCCATGTGGGCAAACGCTAAGTCTTCGACTTCTCTTCCTCAGGCGAACCCTCACCCAGCGGTTCCCATCGGAGCGCCGAAGGAGCGACTCTGGCCGGCCGGCCAAGCTTGGCCAAGGAATCGGCGCTCCTGCTGCTGCCCAGCGGTAACCCCTTGAGGATCGAGGCCGTCCCACCAGGCGTTTTGCTCAAGGAGGACCTGGACTACTTCTACGGCTGCAGCCGGTGTGGCAAAGTGTTTTGGGAAGGGTCCCACTTCGGGCGGCTGGTCTCCCAGTTCCAGGAGGTGCTGGATCTCTCGGAAGGCAGCCGGAGCCTCTACAATCCGGCCTGAGCACGGTTCACGGAGGGACTTGAAGGGGTCCTGAGCTGTAATCTGCAGCCGCCCATGTTGAAACAAATAAGTAAATAGATTGTGCTCTCTTGAAGGAGTCACACCGCTGTCTGTTTCAAGGTGGTTTTTTCATTTTATTTCATTTTATTGGTTTTTGCTTTATGCCACTCTTCTTGCACCGGAGCGCAGGGAAGAACCTCAAGAAGAATCTTGGGGGGACATTTTCCTCTTGCAATTCGCCGGCTCTCCACTCACGCATGACGAGGCTTAAAACCCATCTCCTCTAGGAGACCGACTTTTAATCCTCTCATGTCTCCTTGTTTCTTTCTGCTCTCCCTCTGAGCCAGCCCAGGGGAGAGGTGGTTAAATGTCTGAAATGGGGGAGCAGAGTTTTAGATCCCCTTTGGACAATGTTCTCTGGGTCCCGCTGGTTCGTCCCTGGAAATATTTCAGATTTTAATCGTATCAGTTCTTCTTGGCACTCCCCACCTCCTCAGGCATCTTGTTCCTTATTCCAGGTTGCTTCCGAAAAGGATCAAGGCTCTCCCTTAATCTGAGTAATTCCTTCGGAGAGCTGAGAGGAGCTTAGATGTGGCCGCACGACAGCTGCCCGTCCGGAGTTGGGCTACTGGGCCAATACTGAGCAGAGGTGACTTTAGGCCGAGAGAAAGGATGGGAGGAAGCTGGCATTCCCATACACACCCCACATCTGCTATCTAAGATCTAATTTTAACTAGAGATGCTGCAGGACTGCTTTTAAATAGAGGCAGTGGGAAGCGTGGAAGGTTTTTTTTGAGAATCACTGCTTCAGTTGTTAGGGGTCTCTGGGAGATGCTGTCTTTGGCTCAGCGGTCCAAAGCACCTGGTTTCCTAGCGACCCTTTCTCTAACCTCCTCGTCCAAATCTCAGCCTGCTTTGCTCAATCCCCTTTACCTTAAGGGCCAAGCAATGAGAAGCTGTAAACCTGTTAAGTGTTCCAGAGATGCGATTCCAACAGGCTTCCGTGCCCGCGCTGAACGCCGCCATTCATGCAGAGGGAAGCGTCAAGCACACCTGCGGGCGTCCAGTCACAAAACAGAGCAAGCTACTTTGCAAAGTACAGGAGGCATGTAAAGCTTCTGCTGTGACCATCAGGCATTCTTCAGCACTCCCTTTTCTAATCTCGGGCTATCTATAATGTACAGAATTGACTTCGCATCTTCTGCGGCCCGGCCTCGTAGGCTTCACAGACACAAGAATTTGGAAAGCCCTTCTCTATTGGGGGGGTGGGTTTCCGGGCAGGAGGCTTAACAACGCAACCCTTCAGCAGCTCCTCCTCCACCGTCCTTGCCCACCCACCCCAAAGCCCGCCATTTTGCCTCCTGCAGTGCTAAATTTTAGAGGACGCTGGCTTTTGTAAATCGATCCGCTTTTAGAAGGCAACATGCACACGATCATCGTCAAATTAAAAGCACAGCGTCCTGCACTCGAAAGGCGGAAGCCTGCCGAGAGAGGAAGGGCAGGTGCCCACCCCACCCCATCTGCTGAGGACTTGGAAGAGCATCTTTCTCCGTCCTTTGAGAAGACCCTTGAGGAAGAAGAGGGCTCTGTGAGCCAAGCCAGAAGGGGAAGGAAGCCCCATCTCCTTGAGAAGGAAAGAGCCAGGGTCTCTCCCAGCGCAGGAACTCCGTCATGCCGGGAGGAAGTTCCGCTTCCTCATCCTCTTCCCACGGGGCAGCCAGCCAGAGTTTTACAAACCGGTTCCTGCTCTCTGTATGTGAGTTTTAGAAGTTGACCAGACCCTCCCGAGGGGACGAGAGGATCCTCTCTCTCTCTCCGGAGCCTTTGGTCCTCTCAGGAAACAGCAGGTGTGGATGCGGATAAGGGGAAAAAACACAACAGCCTACCTCTAGCACTTCTTCTTGGGGGGGTGGGAAGCGGGCACGCATAGATACCCATCCAGAGTTGGAATATGGTGCAGCTCAGCATCTTCCTGAATGAGTCGCCCGTGTCACTCAGGCCTAAAAGGTTCCCACACTTGCAGGGAGCAGGAAGTTCAAAAAAAGAAGCATCTCAGGCCGTAGATGAAGCCGAGAAAGGACCAGTTTTCACCCGGAGGGGCGCCAGGCGCCCTCCCCGGTGGGAAAAGGAGGCCCAGCATCACAAGGGATGTTCCCACCGGGCAGTTATTTCATTTTTAGCAGGCAAGGGTTGTTGATTAATTGTATTTTATTTTTTTTGCTTCTGGTTAGAGAAAGGAGGCGGGCGTCTTTAAGGTACAACTGCTCATTTTTACCGTGCATTATTGCGGCCACAGTATTTTTGCGTTTTTATCAAAGGGTGCTGCCTTCCCTCCTAGGAAGCTGCAGTCTGGATTGAAGATCAGAATTGCCCACGACTCTATTAATGCACTGGGATGGGAGGCGGTCAGAAGAGAGAGGTAGAATTTGCAGTTTTAAATAGGGGGAGGGGGTTGCAAGATCCTGCTGTCTTTGCACCATTAGGTGGATGGGGACCAGGGTAAAGTCCCCCAAAGTTGAGCGCTGCCCCCCTCCCCCAGCCAGCACCTCGTGAATGCCCTGCCCTCGGTCCACAAAGACGTGAAACATGATTTGCCTTACACAAGTGTAAACCGGCAGTAGGATCCTGGCCGTGGGGTGTGCGCGCACCACCCCAAACGGAGGAGCCTTGTGGCATCGGAAAGCTGGCCAAGTTTTTTTTTGGGGGGGCACGACTTTATGGGGACACCCTGGCTTACTCCAGAGTAAGCCATTCGGCTTGCGGGGCACAGTCCTGTCCTTTGGTCTCTCCTCTTTCTCTCTTCCCCCCCCCAACCCGGCCACTTTCCTTGCATTTCTGCAAAAATCCCACATTTATATGGGGGGGGA